GGCTAGTGCTCTACCACTTGAGCCACAGTGCCACTTCCGGCTTTTTTCTTTTTGCTTATGTGGTGCTGAGGAATTGAACACAAGGCCTCAGGCATGTAAGGCACGCGCTCTACCACTGAGCCACATTCCCAGCCCTAGAGCAAAATAATTTTAAAAAACTAACAGGGCGCACCATGGCCTTGAGTTCAAGTCCCAGTACAGGCACCAAGAAAACAAATTTCCTACCAAGGTAATTCTTAACTCTTGGCCATTTTGTTATCTATCTTCCCAGCATAGCTCTTCAAGGGTCAGAGTCTTAAAGAAGGGGTGGCATTAGGAACAAGGAATAGAAGATGGCACAAACAGCACATGAGCATGTTACACTGTCATTCTCCTGGGGAAATTGTCTGGACCTGGGTAGCAGTTTTGGAAGCAGAGCCAACATTGGGATTCAAAGGAGATGAATCCATAAGGATGGCTAGACAAACCAAGACCAGGCTATGAGTGGGGAACATATCAAACTGCTGCAGAACCAAAAAAGGCATCATGAACATGCTGTTCAATCCAGCGTCTGGGTGAACATGGCATTCATGTGCAAGAGTTTCATGTCCACAGAGGTGGGGACCACCAAGCCCAGCAACTGTGCCCAGGACCACAGAACTGAGCAAGGGCAGGAAGTTCTAGCCATCTGGCTAGAGCTAGGTTGGGGCTATTTTCCCCAAAGCAGTTGCACCTTCCCATCTTGGGAAGGTGGGGGTGGGGGGAGAGCGGGGGAGAGAGACAGGCAGGGCTGAGCTGCAGTAAGCCAGGGTACTGCTTCATACAGAAACTCTTTGGGGACTCCCCATCTGTGCCCACATACACCTCACAGCCCAAAACACCCCATTGCCAGATGAGGCCCAAGCATTTGCCCACCCCAAGTGAAAATGATGGAAGCCTGGGGGAGAGGTGGAGGTGGAGATAAGGAGCTTTAGGAGGAAGTGGCCTTTGGGGAGGGTTTTCAGAAAGAGAAAGGATCCAGGAGAAATAAGGATAAGGGACTTGAGTGCCCTTATTCTGGGATGTCTGAGGGCAGAGCTGAGAGTTGAAATGAGGACTGTGAGGGAGATCTGGAAAACCTTCTGTTATTACAGTTAGTGCCCTTGGGCCAGCATGGCCTCCCATTCCCCCATCATTAACCTGAAGAGAACCTTCTCTGATGAGTCCCTGTCCACTCACCATCTCACATCAAAGCACTGACCAGAAGCTCAAAGGACTCACTTCAAAGCCACAGAGGTTAGAGTCAATGTCCAGTTCCACTCCTTCCTAGCTGTGCAGCTCTTGGCGAGCCTGTGCTGATCCAATTCAACTCACAGGAGTGAGTTGAATCTATGGGGACCCCCACTCCCTCCACAGACCCTTACTTACATAGGAGCCCAGAAGTGTAGTCGGGGCCAGGACCAGAGCCAAATAGAGACAGGGGGCTGCTACGAGCAGGCTGCAGGCACAGACGAGAGGTTCCGCTCTAGGGTTCACTTTCTTGTATCTTCTGGAAGTCTCTGCACCCAGAACAACTCCGATGATGCCAGTCATAACAGTTAGTACTCCGAAAATCAGGCTGGTGGAGAAGAGCAGAGAGGGCCACATCAGCCCCTGCCTCAGCCCTCACCTGGTCTCACACATTGGCTGAGGGCATGGTGTGGTTCCTCTAGAACCTCTGCAGCTGTGCCCCTCCCTTCAGATGGGGTTTCAGGACCCTGGTCAGAAGCCCATGCATGCCCTGTCAGCCCCTAGTTCCTTCCCTGCCCTGCCATAGACACAGTACTGGCCTTGTCTCTGATCCACAGTACCCCAGCACCCCAGTTCCTAGTCTTTCTCACCTCCACTGACCTTCCTCACTCTCTCATCATCCAAAAATGGCCCTCTCAAGAAATCTGAATTCTAGGGCTGGGAAGATAGCTCAGCGGTAGAGTGCATGCCTTGCAAGCATGAGTCCCTGGGTTCGATTCCTCAGCACCACAAACACAGAAAAAGCCGGAAGTGGCGCTGTGGCTCCAGTGGTAGAGCACTAGCCTTGAGCTGAAGAGCTGAGGGACAGCACCCAGACCCAGAGTTCAGGCCCCATGACCGGCAAAAAAAAAAAGAAATCTGAATTCTAAACCAGGCCCCAGTGCCTACAGTCCTAGCCTGTGATCTCAAAATTAGAGGATCATGGTTCAAGGCCAATCCAGGTGGAAAAGTCTTAAGATTCCATCTCCAATTAACTAGCAAAAAGTTAAATGGCTCTGTAGATGACCTTTACAATAATATTTTTTGGGGGGTCCAGTTGTGAGGCCTGTACTCTGGGCCTGGGCGCTGTCCCTCATCTCTTCAGCTCAAGTCTAGCGCTCTACCACTTGAGCCACAGCACCACTTTTGGCTTTTTTCTTTTTGCTTCTGTGGTGCTGAGGAATAGAACCCAGGGCCTCAGGCATGCAAGGCAAGCGCTCTACCACTGAGCCACCTTCCCAGCCCCTACAATAACATGTTTTTAAAACTTTAACTGTAGCAATAAATTCTGAATCTTTACTATTAAAACAAAACAGCAACAAAAAAGCTAAATGGCTCAAGTGATTGAATGCCAGCCATGAGCAAGCAAGCTGAGCAAAAGCACAAGGCTCTGAGTCAAGTCCTAGTACTGGCAAAGAAGGAAGAGGATGAAGATGGGGAGGAGAGGGAGAAGGATGAGAAGGATAAAAGGGAGGAAGAGAAGAAGGAAGAGGAGGATAAGAGGAGGGGGAGGATTCTGGGCCAGATAAAGTGGCTAACACATGTAATCTCAGCTGCTCAGGAAACATGGAAAGAATGGCAAGGGTTACAGTTTAAAACCAGCTGAGGAAACAAGACCCTATCTCAACAAACAAGTATGTTGTTATGGCAGGTGCATGGCATACAGCTATGTGGGATGCATAGGCATAGGTAGGGGAAAGCCCTACCTGAAAAATAGCTAAAGCAAATCAGGCACCAGTGGCTCACCCCTGTAATCCTAGCTACACAGGAGGCTGAGATCTGAAAAATCACAGTTCTAAGCCATCCTGGGCAAGAAATGCTGTGAGACTCTTATCTCTAATTAACCACTAGAAATGGAGCTGTGGCCCAAAGCGGTATAGTGCTAGCCTTGAGCAAAATGAGCTCAGAGACAACATGCAGGCCCCAAGTCCAATCCTCATGAACAACAAAATAATAACAATAGCTAAAGCTAAAGAGAGCTAGGATTGTGGTTCAAGTTGTAGAATACCTGCCTACCAAGAGAATAGTCTCAATTCTAGAGCCCCAACTCTAGCCCCTCCTCTCCCTCTCACCCCCGTGCTGGGACAGAGCATTCTGAGCTCCTGTAGCATCCCAGCCCTGTCGGGCACGGCATCCACTCCGTCCTCAACTCCCATTCCTGCAGTCCCTGTCTCTCTGGCAGCCTCCAGCTGGCACTGACCTCATTACTGCTCCCATCTGCTCCTGGGCCCACTTCAGCCCATTGGCGCCCCCTTGTGCATCCTCCCCTGGGAACCTGCCCCTGATACCTCCATGCAGAAACCCCCCAGAGTGCTGTCAAAACCCCTCCACCAGCTCCCAAACACCCACCAGGCTCTGGTTCACCTCACCCTGGGGCCCAAATCTGGGCTTAGTCCAGAAATGTTGCTATCTCCACCTTCATACCCTTGCCCAAACTCCTACTCATCCCTTAAGACCCTCTCTTTGGAGATGGCTTTCTCTGTATCCTTGCTGGATTGGGAAGTCGCCCTCTTACTCTACTTAAGCCCTTCCCTTTCAAAGGAGCTCAAAGGCAGAGCTGAGGCTCTGATCAACGTGATGACATTGGGGACAGCTTCCCACCAGCTACCCCATCCCCCAGCTGTCTTCTGTTCAAGTTCCAGCCAGTACAGTGGCCTGGGGGAGCAGGCCCCGGGGGGGAGCAGGCCCTCCCACTTGTGTGGATTCCCCTCTTTCCTGTGGCACAAGAAACAAAGTTCTCAACACTTGCCCTGTGCTTTCTTGGCCCTCTACGTTCCCTTGGCTTAAAGCACTGTTGACCCCAAGCTCCCCACTCCCTGCCCCTCCCCGCCCGGCTGCAAATCCCCACAGACCCACACAGTTCCAGAGTTGTGTGGAATGGCAGGGAGCCTAAGATCCCTCCAACCCCTTCCAGGAAACAAGAGCACGGTCGCATGATCGCTCTCTGCAAACATGGCCATGAAAACCTCTTGCCCCAATGCATCTTCTGGGCGCCCCATGGGCTGAAGGCTGCTGGGCTCACTCCTGCCATCCCTTTAGTGTATAGGAGACAAGTGTGGAGCCCAGAGAGGGCAGGTGCTTGCCTGAGGTCATACACCCACTCAAGGACAGAGCCAGAGCTTCGTGGCTCTCTGCCTACCAGACAGAAGTGAATTTATCCCTTGGCAACATAGAGGTCCTTAACCTCCCCACTACCCCAGTGGAGCAAGGCTCAAGCGCAGCAAGTCATGTGGCCCCGACCTACCTCCCAGATGAACACTACCCGCCTTTGAGTCTTGCTCTGAGCCAGCCATGGAAGACTCTCGGGGCCCTTGAAAGCCTGAGAATCGATCATTCCAACAGGCAACTGTGTTCCCCTGCTGATCCTGGTGAGAGCAGAGGACACGGCCCAGACCCAAGTTCCCTGATCTCTCTGCCTCCCACATAAGACCTTCCAGGATCACAGGCCCCTAGACACCAGAGAATTCTTGGTGGTGATGGTGGTGGTCATTGGGACTTGAACTCAGGGCCTGGGCATTGTCTCTGAGCTATTTTGTTCAAGGCTAGCACCATACCACTTCGAGCCACAGCACCACTTCCAGTTTTCTGGTGGTTAATTGGAGATAACAGTCTCAAGTACTTTCCTGCCTGGACTGGCTTGGAACCATAATCCTCAGATCTCAGCCTCCTGAGTAGCTGGGATGACAGGTGTGAGCCACCAGCGCTAGCTAGAGAGAATCCTTCAGGACTGCAAAGTTCTTACTGTTCCTTACACACCAGCCTCTGCCAGCTGGCTGTCCAGGCTTCACACATGCACCCCAGCAACACTGCTGAATTCTCCCTGAAGCTGTGCTGAGATCCTGGGAATCAATCCTGCATTTCACAGCTTCTGCAAGAAACTGATTTTTGAGTGGTTAATTGGTGCTTTGGGTTAATTTTGTGGTTAATTGGACTTTTCTGACTGGACTGGCTTCAAACTGCAATCCTCAGATCTCAGCCTCCTGAGAAGCTAGGATTCCACTCATGTCTGGAGTCTGTCCTAACCAAGGCAAAGACATTCACAGCAGGCCTATGCAAGACCCCCAAAACAGGCACTACACTACTCTCATCTTCAGAACCTTTGAGAGAAGTCGATTCACAGATACGGCATGGGCTGAGAATGTGGCTTAGTGGTAGAGTAGCTTCCCTAGCATGCATGAAGCCCTGGGTTTGATTCTTCAGTACTGCATACACAGAAAAAGCTGGAAGTGGCACTGTGGCCCAAGAGGTAGAGCGCTAGCCTTGAGCACAAGAAGCTCAGGGACAGCGCCCAAGCCCTGAGATCAAGCTCCAGAACTGGCACACTAGGCAGCGAGAGATGCCAGGACTCCTCCCCTGGCACCCCAGGGGACAGGCCCATGCCCATGCCTTGATTGGAGCCACTGGAGTCACTGCAAGCTGCTGCCCTCCAAAGTGATGAGAAAATACATTTCTACTATTTAAGTAGCCAAGTTTGGGGTCATTCATTGCACTGATCACAAGGAACTAAACTGGCTTGTTTGTCTGCCTTGTGCTATGCAGGGCTGCAGTAAGGCAGGAGGCCAGGCTGTGCGGGAGGTGGAAAGCGACTTTTGCAGGAATGTATGGCCTGCTAATGCCAGAAGGGCAGCTCAGCTCTATCCTCACTGTTTCAAACTGACATGGACCTTTTAGGGTTCAGTCCATTTCTGCCCCCAGAGAGAGGATCTAGCTGCAGAATCAAGATAAACATCAGGCTCTCTCTCTCTCTCTCTCTCTCTCTCTCTCTCTCGCTCTCTCTCTCTCTCTCACACACACACACATACACACACCACACACACACACACGCATGCAAGCACATACACTCTCTCACCACCCCCTCTCTCTCTTCCCCCACTCTCTCTCTCTTGCCAGTACTGAGGCTTAAACTCAGGGCCTTGCACTCTTCTTTTACTCTAGGCTAGCAGCCTACCATTTGAGCCATAGCTTCACTTTTGGTTTTTTGGTGGTTCATTGGAGATGAGTCTCACAGACTTTCCTGCCCTAGCTGGCTTTGAACCATGATTCTCAGATCTCAGACTCTTTTTGATGCCTTCGTTAGCAAGCTTCCTCTAAGTGCCTCTGTGAGCCAGGAAGCCCTGCCAGCTGCTGGGGAAATGATCAGATGTCAGCAGGGACAACGGGAGGTGTGCTCAAAGGATCAGCTTTGGAGTCAGATAGGTTCAAATCCTGCTCTGCTACTTGGTAGCTTTGGAAAGTCACCAAACTCATCTCATCTTCATTGCCTCACTTGTAATACGAGGATAATAGGAATGGCTTCTCTCAAGGGCACCTCACCCAAAATGCTGGCACAAGGCCCAAAGTCAATTTAGAACTGAAGGTGTAGCTCAGTGCTATAGCACTTGACTAAAAAGTACAAGATACTGCGTTTGATCTCAAACAGCACAAAAAAAATTACAAAGTAAACAGTTATCCAAGAGCCAGTGACCAGTAATCCTAGCTTCTCAGGAGGCTGAGATCTGAGAGTCACAATTCAAAGCCAGCCTGGGCAGAAAAGTCTGTGAGACTCTTATCTCCAATGAACCACCAGAAAACTGGAAGTGGTTCTGTGGCTCAAAGTGTTAGCATGCTAGCCTTGAGCAAAAGAGCCTGGGGAGGGGCTGGGAAGGTGGCTCAGTGGTAGAGTGCTTGCCTTGCATGCACGAGGTCCTGGGTTCCATTTCTCAGCACCCCATAAGCAGAAAAAGCCGGAAGTGGTGCTGTAGCTCAAGTGATAGAATGCTAGCCTTGAGCTAGCCTTGAGCTGAGGGACAGCGCCCAGGCCCTGAGTTCAGGCCCCATGACCCAAAAAAAAGTAAAAATTTAATAAGCACTGATGAGAATTACAGGAAGCTCCCTCTAAGCAAGGCAGACGTAGTTGCCTGGGAGCCTGGGGGAGGACGCATCTCTGAGGAAGAGCACAGAGCCCAGGATGGAAAAGGGAAAGTGACACACAGACCAGCAAGGAGGAGGAAGAAGGATTCGGGTGCTCGGAGGAGGGGCGACAGGGATGGGAGGGCTGGGAGATGGCCTGGACTCCTACTAGAGGCTACTGAGACCCTTGAAGAGTTGGTGGGGACAAAAAAGGACCTCAGCAGGGGGTGTCCGGCTCCTCCTGGGATTCTAGGTGCACCCATAAGCAGAGAAGAATCCACACAGGCCCCTTGTCCCCAGGCTCAAGACACAAGGCCAAGCGGCCTCCAGGGGCAATGTGTAACATGAGTGGCCTCACAAAAAAAGCCCCTCTACAAAGAAAGGAGTAATGTCCCCCAAAAAAGCTCTCCCTCCCCACACCACCACCAGAGCCTTTGGACCCCACAGCAGCCTTTAGAGTGGGAAGACAGGGATTTCAGTCCAGAGAAGGCAAAGAAAGCAGCTATCTGTGGTCACACAGGGAGACAGGGCTGGCACCTAGGCCTACAGGCTGACAACTAGACCCAGATGGCTGCTCTCTTCTCAGCAACAGAGGAAGGGGGGACTGAATCCAGGGCTCGGGCCTCCTGAGCACTGCCACAGCCCCAGCCCCAGGCTGAGCCACTGTCTGCCCTACTCCCTCACCTGTCCTGGCTGCCACATGGATCCTGAAAGCAGGGAAGCTGTAGCCCGTGAACCACACGGGCCTCAAACAGAAACTTGGGCGCCCAGAAGCCCAGGGCTCCGGTCACAAAAGTCATGGCTGTCACTCCAAGTGTGGACCACACGAAACTCCAGCTGCAAGAGAGGGTTCCAGGCTGAAGAAAGAGAGATTAGGACCACAGGTGCCAAGCCTGAGGCTTCAGCATCCTCCTCACCTCTTCCACAGCCTCCAGTGCACTATGCCTACTTGCCCCTCTGCTGGACCACATCTCCCCATCCTCTGGCCCTAGTCCAACATTGCATTTCCAGGGCTTGTCCTTGCCTGCCCCCATCTCCCCTGCAGCTCCCTCCATGGGTCACATGGCTCTGGAACATGGATACCTGGGTCCTGTCCTGCCCCATGCTTCAAGAGACCACGAGGCCTTTGGACCCCACAGCAGCCTGTACTTGATTCTCTCTGCTTACCTTAGAGAGGCAAGATCAAACTCTCAGCCTCCTCCAAGCAGCCTGGAGAAGCAGGTCAGGCTGCCAAAATGCATCTATTAAATAACCAAGGAAGGCAGGCCCAGCAGCTCCCTCCTACAGTCCTAGCTACTCAGGAAGCTGGGATCTGTAGCCAAATGAGATAGAAAAAGTTCAAAAGACTCCATCTCCAATTAACACAGTAAAAAGCAGGACTGGAGGCATAATTCAGGTGGTACAGCGTGCCAGCCTAGCAAGCACAAATTCAAGTACTTATACTGATAGGTAAATAAATAATGAACACACTGAAGAGAGTCTCAGGGTCACTGTGGGTGGCGCAGAGGCAGAGCTGGAGCTCACACCATCTACCCCCTCCCAGCCCACACATTCATCTGTCCTGTGGAGTGGCATGGAGGCTGCACCCCAGGTCATGGAGGAGTAACTGGAGCTCAGAAAACAGAGAGGGTGGTAAGCTCTGAGACATCCAGAGAGGGCTCTCTGGAGGCAGGGAGACAGAGAGAGAGGGGTAGGGATGCTGAATGGGGGTTCTGTGGCTGGAAATGAGGAGCAGGATACTCACTTTCTCCCCAGGTATCGGATGTCCTCACACCAGCTGCTCCTCAGGACCCCCGCCACCACCTCTCCCTGCCCCTCAGCAGCTCCTCGAGGTGGGTTGGGAACCAACAGGATGAGCAAGATCAAGGCCACAGCCTCCAGGCAAGGCATGATCTGGAGACAGGAGAGTCCGGGAAGCTCAGGGGCCATATGCTACCACATCCATGAGACTCAGGAGTGAGCACCCATGTGGGATGAACTCTGTGATCCAGGCCTGACATCCAGGTGCTAGTGCTCACAGAACCAGGTAGGTAACTGTTTGCTACCTCTGTGGAGGGGCTGGGCCTCTGGGAGGCACAGTCCCCTGGGATTGATGGCTGTCCAACCCATGGGGCCTGAGGGGCCTGAGCACTCTGCCTCTGAGAACTCCCAGCCCCAATAACCAGTCCTTTTTCTGGCCCTGTCTCTCTGTCGGCCATGGTAACTTGGCCTGCTACCTTCTCCCCATGCTTCTACTCAAAGCAGGTCAGACCACCTACCCAGCCTGGGGTCCCAATTCTGCCTGTCACTCACTGGCTTAGGAGGAATCTGCATGCATGCAGGATTAAGCCTCAGTCCCCCTACCACCCAGATCCTCCTTCTTCTGACTCTTCTGTACCCCTGTTCCGGACTGAGCTGATCATGGCTTCTGGCAACAGGGTCTGCAGGGATGTTCCACATATCCTGGTCCCACTGCCTGAGAGCCTTAGCTTCTGTCCCTTGGGGTCTGCTAAGGGCCTCCCCCTGAGCTAAGAACTTTCCAGTCCTCATCCAACAGTCCTCACAATGCCAGTGGTGACATTCACTTTACAGATGGGCAAACAGAGGCTCTGGCGAAGAAAGCAACTGGCTTGGGGTCACCCCACTAGCAGCTGGGATTTGAACCCCAAGTCTTGACTTCCTCCTGCTCTACATGAGGCCTCACATGTCCAAAACTGCTGATGACTGACGCCCGCATGGCGCCGGGGAACATGCCAAGAGGTCAAGGCCACTGAAGGCTGGAAAGTCCCCACCAGCCCAGGGGGGAAGGGGGGGCATGAGAGGTGGGGCAGAGGGAAGGATAAAGGAAAGGACACTGGACTCACCCGGAGGGCCCAGCGCCAGCTCCCCGTCAGCTCTGACACAGCTGACCCCAGCACGTAGCCCAGACCACTAAGACAGAGGGATAAACAAGGTGAGCAGTGAGTGGTGAGAGGTAGGGCCCAAGGCCTGCCTGACCTGGGAGACTTCAACCCAGGGATCACTCTGTGCCTCCCTTTCCCTGAGAAAAGCAGTTGTGTGAGATTCAGGTGTTATCCACCCTTGGTCAAGCACCCAGCTCCAGTGCTACTCTCCATGTGAGCATGGCAGCTGAACTGCAGAGTTCTGTCTCCCATTCTCCTTGTACAAGCATAGGGAAGTTCAGGACACCAGAGTCAGAGCTTAGGAGCCTGTTCCACCTGTTGTCCCTGCTGAGGGTAAGGCTGCTTTTTCTCTGTGGGAAGCATGCACACTCCCACTGAGGGCCATCTCTGTTCCTTGTGCTCCTCATCGCCTCATCAATTAGCATCACTGCTCTACTCAGTGAGGAAACTACCTCTGAGTGATGAAGTGACAAGGGGTGGGTGCTAGGATTCAGACCCCAATCCTTGTGATCTGACATCCCCTATGCCCAACCTTGTCCCTGATCTGACTCCTTCAGGCCTCAGTGTACACCCAGAGAAATGGATCTAGGGGTAATACAAACCTTCCAACAGGTATGGAGATGTAGAAGATGGTCAATATGTGCGTCCTATGGTCCTGCACGAAGAGGTCCCCCAGGACAGTGGGTGTGATGGTGGAGTAGCTGGCTAGGCCAGCGCCCACAGCTCCCCGGGAAAGGAAGAAGAGCCAGGAGTACTGGATGAGCCAGGCACCGTCCATGGTGAGTTCCAAATATCAACCATGGGTTGAGGGATCGAAGGATATGTAAAGAGTTTGTCAGAGGGTTCAAAGGAACCTCAGGACAGTCCCTAGGGAAGGGGGGGCCACTAACCCCTCTACCCAACACCCACCCCAGCTTCCACAGACCACACAGATGTCCACTACTGGCACCTGGTGATGCTACCTGCTCTGCCCCCACCCCCACCCCCAGCCTTCTCTTGAATCTCTTTCCTCACTAAGGCTAATTCCCAAACCAGGACAAGGTAACTCACACCTGTAATCCTAGCTTCTCAGGAGGCTGAAATTTGAGGACCATGGATCAAAGCCAGCCCAAGCAGGAAATTCTATGAGACTCTTATCTCTCATTAACCAGCAAAAAGCCAAGAGTGAAGGTGTGACTCAAGTGGCAGAGCACCAGCCTTGGGCTAAAAATCTAAGGTATAGCACCCAGGCCCTGAGTTTAAGCTTCAGTACCAGCAAGAAAGAAAGAAGAAAGGAAATAAGGAAGGAAGGAGGGAAGGGAGGGAGGGAAGGTGGGAAGGGAGGGAGGGAGGGAGGGAAGGAGGGAGGGAGGGATGGGGGAAGGAGAGAGGGAAGGAAGAAAGAGAGAGAGAGCAGTTTGCCAAGGCAGGAGCTGTCCCCCCATCGCCAGCAGAGCCTGCAGGGAGAGGGGGCAGTGGGAGATTCAAGAGAGAAAGTCTCATGTTAAGAAAGTCTAAGAGGGGCTGAGAATGCAGCTTAGAGGTAGCGTGCTTGCCTAGCATGCATGAATCCTTGGGTTCAATTCCTCAGTACCACAAAAACAAAAAAAGCCAGAAGTGGCACTGTGGCTCAAGTAATAGAGTGCTAGCTTTGAGCAAAAAAAAGCTAGCTCAGAAACAGTGCCCAGGCCCTGAGTTCAAGCCCCATGAGTGGCAAAAAAGAAAAAGAAAAAAAAATCTAAGAGCCAGGTACCAGTGGCTCACGCCTGTAATCCTAGCTACTCAGGAGGCTGAGATCTAAGGATCGTAGTTCAAAATCAGCCCAGGCAGGAAAGCCTATGAGACTCTTATTTCCAATTAACCACCAAAAAAACAGAAGTTGAGCTGTGGCTCAAGTGGTAGAGCACTAGCCTTGAGCTAAAGAGCTCAGAGACAGCACACAGGCCCAGAGTTCAAGTCCCATGACTGACCACCCCACCCCAAATCTAAGACCTGGAAATTACCTCCTCCTCCAGAGCTAACAGGTGGATCCTGAACCAGCTTGGGTCAGAACGATCTCTACCCAGATCTCATGGGGCAGATCAGAGAGGAAGCAAAGGGTTGCTCCCAGGAGCAGAGTGGTGGACACCTACCTCTGTAGGAACGAAGGAGCTGGAGAGGCCAGCCCCTGACCAGAGCAGGATCCCGAAGCACAGCATGGCCTTGCGACTGTGCCGATCACCCAAGTAGCCAAACACAGGTGCTGACCCCAGCAGGCAGCTGATAAAGACTGGAAGGGACACACAAGGGCAGCCTGGACTCCCCCATGCCAGGGGAAAGGAAGGAGATAGTCCCCCTTTCACCACAGAAAGGAACTAGCTCGGATGCCACCAGCTGGCATCTTGGCAGTGAGCCCAGGACACGCAGAAGAAAAGATAAGACAGCTCTCACAACCCTGATCCAACCAAAACTCCTAAGCCCAAGTGCAGCACCAGGCCTGAGCCAATCTCAGTTCTGCCTCATGGAGCAGCACCCCGGCCTTGAGAAGACAGCCTGCCTCAAACAGCAACCAAAGAGCACAGAGAACAAGCGCATTGTTGACAAACTTGGGTGATTCTGGAAGGTGGGACCGGACTGGTTTGCCTAAGTTGGTCCAGTATTTCCCAGACACTATTGTAAATCTGCTACTTTACAATAAACCCATATTGGCCAGGCACCAACGGCTCATGTTCATAAGCCTAGCTACTCTCAGGGGCTGAGACCTGAGGTTCTTGGTTCATAGCCATCCCAGGGAGGAAAACCCAGGAGACTCTTATCTCCAATTAACCAGCAAAAAGCTGGAAATGATCCTGTGGTTCAGGTGGTAGAGCAACAGCCTTGAGAAAAAAAAAAAAGCAGTGCCTAGTCACTTAGTTCAGGCCTCTTTCTAGAACACACACAAAAATAAATAAATAAATGTGGCTTACTGGTAGAGTGCTTGCCTAGCATGCATGAAGTCCTGGGTTTGATTCCTCAGTACTACATATGCAGAAAAAGCCAGAAGTGGTGCTGTGGCTCAAATGATACAGTGCTAGCCTTGAGCAAATGAAGCTCAAGGACAGTGCCCAGACCCTGAGTTGAAGCCCCCAAGACTGGCAAAAACAAACAAATAAATAAATAAATAAATCCACCCTTACTGATAACAACAACTGGATTAATTAATGAGTTTGCTGTTCTGTAAAAATTAGGAAATAGTCATAGGTTTGTTTGTCCTTGTGCTACATGGATAAAGGAAGCTGGTGAGTCCCGGCCTCAAAGCTGGGATAGCTTTGGCAGGTAGACAAAGGGAGGTCTGGACTCTCCTCCTCAGCCCTGCCTCATCATTCTAGGATTTAAAGCCCAGGACCTAGAATTCCATTCATTGAGTAAAGATGCTTAGCATTTGCTGAACCCAACAAATGTCCAGTTTCTTCACAGATAGTGTTTCAGCCACTCCCACTCTCTCATGACCTACTCTAGTATTGTATGCAAGTGTGGAAATTAGGACAAGTTTGACCTACAAAACCAGCAATTTAATAATGGGTCGACCTTATACTCCACAGAGAATGATCTTTGGGGTCAACGGCTATTAAAGTTCTTAATAGCTAGTGCCAAAATAGGCTTCAAAAAGACTTTATCAGCTTACACTCACATAGAAGCACATGCCAAAGCCACTGCTGCAACCAACTGCATTACATTTGTGTATGTAATGAGAATCAAATGGCATCTCTCTGATGTTTTATCCACTTTGTCCTAGTCCCAGGAAACTGAGCAACAGTTCTTCATTTTCACCTTTTTTTTTTCCTGTCCTGGGGCTTGAACTCTGGGCCTGGGTGCTATCTCTGAGCTCTTTTGCTAAAGGCTAACACTCTACCACTTGAGCCACAGTACCTTTTCTGGTTTTTTCTGTGATTAATTGGAGAAAAGAGTCTCACGGACTTTGCTGCCTGCACTGATTTTGAACCATAATCCTCAGATCTCAACCTCCTGAGTATCTAGGATTTACAAATATGAGCCACCAATGCCCAGTTTTGCTCATTTTGAGGGAAGGGATATTTGCCTATAATTTTTATTAAAAATAACTTTCTCAGTCTTTTATATTAGGCTTAAAGGATTCAAAGTACAAGTTCTTGGCCAGGAGTGGTAGTCATGCTTATAATTTCAGCTGTAGCTGAAACATGAGACATAAGACTCTCTTAAGACCAGGAGTTTGAGACCAGTCTATGCAATATAGTAAGAATTCCACCTCCCCACACACAAATAATAATCTAGAGTCAAACCATTTGAATTCAGATCCTACTCTCTAGCAATTGTGGCCTTCACTCTCTCTTTTCCTTTTACATCAGCCACAGAACAGTAATAGTACCTGCTTTATAAATCTATTGAGGTCACTCAAATGTATAAATGGTACCTGAATGGCTCTATAATAATGTTCATTAAGTATTGTCTATTATTATTACTAACTGTATAGTTCCTGTCAACATGATGCAGAAGTGTTTAGCTGTGATGGAGACAACGCTATCAGTCTTCCTTTTGTAGGGGAGCATTGTTCCATGCCCCATTTGTGCATATTTTTACCTGGTGCTAAGAATCTCCAGGGCTCATGATGTTTTCACTCACTGCTGGTGCTCCATCACTTGAGCCATATACCCAGACCAATATTTTTCTGGCTAATTGAAGCTGGCTTTGAACTGCAGTACTCCAGTTCTCAGCTTCCTGAGTAGTTTGGGTTATAGGTCTGAGCTACAAGTGTCCATATCTTCTTTGCACAAGTGTGCATATCTTCTTTGTCAAAAGTTATACACCTTGGAAGTGGTGCTGTAGCTCAAGTGGTAGAGCGCTTGCCTTGAGCTGAAGAGCTGAGGGACAGCACCCAGCCCAGAGTTCAAGCCCCACGACCGACAAAAAAAAAAAAAAGTTATACACCCATGGGCATTGGGGGCTCACACCTGTAATCCTAGCTACTCAGGAGGCTAAGATCTGAGGATTGCAGTTTAAAGCCAGTCTAGAAAGGAAAATATGTGAGACTCTTATTTCCCAAAAGCCAGAAGTGGTGCTGTGGCTCAAATGGTAGAGTTCCATCCTTGAGCACAAAAACTGAGGGACAGTGCCCAGACCCTGAGTTCAAGCCCAAGGACCATCAAAAAAAAAAAACAGTTATACAAATATTTCTCCACCAGGGCTGGGAAGGTGGCTCAGTGGAAGAGCACTTGCCTTGCATGCATGACGCCCTGCATTCCATTCCTCAGCACCACATAAGCAAAAAGAAAAAAGCCGGGGGCTGGAAAGGTGGCTCAGTGGTAGAGCACTTGCCTTGCATGCATGAGGCCCTGGGTTCGATTCTTCAACAACACATAAACAGAAAAAGCCAGAAGTGGCACTGTGTCTCAAGTGGTAGAGCACTAGCCTTGAGCTGAAGAGCTGAGGGACAGCACCCAGGCCCAGAGTTCAGGCCCCACGACCGGACCCAAAAAAAATTCTCCAGGTGTTTAAGCACCTTCATGGGGTGGGAGATAAGGATCATTTGCAATATACAAATTCCTTAAATCTGCAAGTACTCTAGCCCTCCACAAGGACCTGACTACAGAAGGCAAGCACTCTACATTCCTACCATCTCCATGTTCTGCTCATTGTTGTGATGACATGACAGGAATTAGTGGGGTAAGGGATAGAATATGGCTGAGTGCTAGTGGCTCACACCTGTAATCCAAGCTACCCAGGAGACTGAGATCTGAGAATCACAGTTCAAAGCCAGCCTGGACAAGAAAGTACATGAGACTCTTATCCCTAATTAACTACCAAAAAGAAAGAAAAGAAAGAGGGCTTGGAATATGGATTAGTGGTAGAGTTCTTGCCTAGCACGCATGAAGCCCTGGGTTTGATTCCTCAGTACCACATAAACAGAAAAGACTGGAAATGGTGCTGTGGCTCAAGTGGTAGTGTGCTAGCCTTGAGCAAAAGAAGGTCAAGGACATGCCCAGGCCCTGAGTTTAAGCCCCAGAACTGACTAAAGAAAAAGAGAGAGGGAAGGAAGGAGGGAAGGAAGGAAGGAAGGAGGGAGGGAAGGGAGGGAGGGAGGGAGGGAGGGAAGGCAACCCAGAACAAGTAACTCGTACCTGTAATCCTAACTCAGGAGGCTGAGATCTGAGACTCAAAATTCAAAACCAGCTAGGGCAAGAAAATCCACAAGACTCATAGCCAATTAATCACAGAAAAAGCCAGAAGTGGCACTGAGGCTCAAGTGGTAGAGTGCTAGCCTTGCACAAAAAGGAGCTCAAGACAGCAATCAAGCCCAGAATTCAAGCCCAGGACTGGCAAAAAATTTTAAAAGCTCAGGGATAATGCCCTGAATTTAAGCCCCAGAATGGGCACCGAGAGGGGGGAGGGAGAGAGAGAGAGAGGTGGAATATGGAGGCAAACTTCCTGAATTCAAATCTTACCTTCAGCAAAATCATAACTTCTCTTAGTCTGTTCAGAACCTAAAAAATGGACATCAGGCTAATGCCTGTCTCATGGGTTTGCTGTGAAGGTTAAATGCATTTCTAATTAAAGTACTTAGAAAGTTGGGGTATGGCCCAATGGTACAGCACACACCTAGCATGTAGTAGGCCCTCAATTTGAGCCTCAGTACTATAAATAAAATTAACTAAAGTTACATAAAATGTGTATGCGGGCGCACGTGCATGCATGTGCACATGCTAATACTAGAGGTTGAACTCAGAGCCTTTCACTCTCACTTAGCTTTTTCCCTCAAGAATGGTGTTCTACCACTTGAGCCACACCTCTATTTCCAGTATTTTGTTGGCACAGACTTTCCTGCCCAGGCTGGTTTCAAATATTGATCCTCAGAGCTTAGCCTCCTGAGTAGCTAGGATTACAGGCGTGAGCCACCAGCACCCTGCACTCACTACTGTGTGTGTGTGTGTGTGTGTGTGTGTGTGTGTGTGTGTGTGTGTGTGTGCCAGTCTTGAGCTTTGCACTCAGAGTTTGGGTACTGTCCCTGAGTTTTTATGCTCAAGGACAGCTCTGCTTCCTGCTTTTGGGTGGTAAGTTGGAGATAAGAGTCTCACAAACTTTCCTACCAGGGCTGGTCCCAAACCATGATCCTTGATCTCAGCCTTCTGAGTAGCTGGGATTACAGTCATGAGTTAACCAGCACTGGGCTGTTTTGTTTTGTTGTTTTTGTTTTTTTTTTGACAGGGTCTTGTTATACATGTAAGCCAGGTTGAACTCAAACTTGTGATCCTCTTGCCTCAGCCTCCAAGTATAGCTATGTTTCAGGAAAGAGGGACTCCAAGTATAGCTATGTTTCAGGAAAGAAGGACTTTTATTTATTTATTTTTTTTGGCCAGTCCTAGGTCTTGAATTCTGGGCCTGGATACTGTCCCAAAGCTCCTTTTGCTCAAGGCTTAGTGCCCTACCACTTGAGCCACAGCACCACTTCCAGCTTTTTCTGTGATTATTTGGAGTTAAGAGTCTCACAGAGTTTGCTGCCTGGGCTGGCTTTGAACTTTGATCCTCAGATCTAAGCCTCCTGAGTAGCTAGGATTGCAGGCATGAACCACCAGCACCTGGCTAGAAAGAGGGTTTTTATGGTTGTTTTTTGGATTATTGTTTTCCCTGCAGTGCTAGGAATGGAAACCAGGGCCTTTCACATGCTGGGGAAGCACTCTCTCATTTTAGCCACACTTTCAACCCACTTTCTTCCCTAACATTTAAAACAGTTTAATGTAGGTTGGAAAAGTTACAAAGGATGTGATTTCTGGCATTATTGTGTGCAATGGGCCCCCCAGATCCTGGGTCGCATGGCTTGGATTACACCCACCATATATTGAAAATACTAGGAAAACCTGTAGCTGGGGCTGGGGGCTCACCCCTGTAATCCCAGCTACTCAGGAGACTGCAACTAAGGATACTAATTCAGTCATCCTGGGCAGACAAATCCCAGACACTCTTATCTCTAATTAACCAGCAAAAAGCTGGGAGTTTATTCTTCATGTGAACTGCTTATCAAATATATGCTTGCAATGACTTTTTTTAAAAAAGCTGGGAGTGGAAATATGGCCCAAATGGTAGAAAGCCAGCCTTCAGTGAGGGAGGACAAACAAAAGAGCTAGAGTTCAAGACCTAAGGGCTGGGAATGTGGCTCAGTGGTAGAGTGCTTGCCTAGCATGCATGAAGCCCTGAGTTTGGTTCCTCCATAACACATAAACAAAAACTTAAAAAATGAAATTTAAAAGAAAGAAACATTAAAAATTTAAAAGAAGAGAAGGAGAGGAAGAAGAAGAAGGAGGAGGAGGAGGAGGAGGAGGCAGCAGCCGCCACCGGTGGCTCACACCTATAATCCTAGCTACTCAGGAGGCTAAGATCTGAAGATCATGGTTCAAATCCAGCTGGGGCAGGAAAGTCCATGAGACTCTTATCTTCAATTAACCACCAAAAAACTGCAAGTGGCATTGTGGTTCAAGTGGTAGAGCACTCGCCTTTAGCTGAAGAACTCAGGGACAGCACCTAGGCCCAGAGTTCAAGCCCTACAACTGACCAAAAAAAAAAAAAAGAGTTCAAGACCTAGTACCAGAAAAGGAAGGAAGGAAGGAAAGAAGGAAGAAAGGAAGGGAGAGAGGCAGGGAGGAAGGGTGTCAGCACTGAATTCGTACAGTCATTTTTTTCCTCATTATTCCCCAAATGATACAATACAAAGACTCAGTTGCATAGCTTCAGATAAGGAATCTAGAGCACATTTAGAGTCTGCAGGAGGATTAACCAATTCTGCAAGCACTGGGTCATTTCCTGGGAGGGAAGCAGTCCCTGTGGTCCTGGAAATGGTCTCCTGTGGATGCTGAGGGATGATTTTTTTTTTCAGTAATGGGACTTGAACTCTGGGCCTGGGCACTGCCTCTGAGCTCTTCAGCTCAAGGTTAGTGCTCTACCACTTTGAGCCACTGCACTACTTCCCATTTCTGGTGGTTAATTGGAGATGAGAGTCTCACGAACTTTCCCGCCCAGGCTGGCTTTGAACCGCCATCCTCAGATCTCAGCCTCCAGAGTAGCTAGGATTACAGGCATGAGCCCCCCAGGGCCCTATGATTTGCGGGGGGAGATAAACTATATTTTCAACCAAATTCTTGGTGGTGTAGCTCAAGTTCATTGGATTTATGGTAATAGTCCACCCTCCAGTCCACCCTCCCTTGCCAAACCAACCAACCTGGCAAATCAGACTGACAGCAAGAAAAACACTGACTTCTTCATTTTCTGAATAAAGTCATGTGTTGAAATCCATTCTCCCTGCCTCCCCTCAGCTACTATCTCCTATCTGAATGCTAATTCACTGATAAGGGGCAGACAAGCACAACCCTAGATAAAGCTTGGCTTCTGGGAGGTGGGGGTGGGGGGTGGGGGGGTGGTATATGGCCAGGCCCTTGTGCTTTCGGGGTTGTGCTTAGTCCTCTCCACAGAAGTCACAAGTCTCTCTGCTGGGTCCCTCTGCTCTTCACCCTAGAGTTTTAGTGTCTTCCTGCTTTCGATGGTGGACAAGAGATTGTATGGAAGGGTGACGAGGCAGCCCCTTCGAATGGGTGCAGACCTTTTCTCTGGCTGATCACAATAAAAGAACTGAACCAGTTGCTGGTGGCTCACGCCTGTAATCCTAGCTACTCAGGAGGCTGAGAGCGGAGGATTGCAGTTCAAAACCAACCTGGGCAGAAAAGTCTGTGAGACTCATCTCAATAAACTATTCTGAAAAAAAAAAAAAAAAAAACAGAAGCAGTGCTGTGTGCTCAAGAGCACTAGCCTTGAGCACAAAGAGGCTCAGAGACAGCGCCCAGGCCCTGAATCCAAGCACCAGAACTGGCACACACTAAAATAATAAAAAAAAAAAAAATCTGAGCTAGTGCTGGTGGCTCATGCCTGCAATCCTCAGAAGTCTGGGATCTAAGGTTCGAAGTCAACCTTGACAAGACAAATCCAACTCTGATCTTCAACTAACTAGCAAAAAGCCAAATGTGGAGGTATGACTCAAGTGGCAAAGCAGTAGCTTGAGCAGAGTAGAAGTTGAGTGGGAAAAGCTAAGCAAGAGCACAAAGCCCAGAGTTCAAGCCCAGTACCAACACATACAAAGGATCTGAAAGTGATTCTCTCAACACCGCATTCAGGCAGCGCGGGGGGGGGGGGGGGGGCGCCCCAGGCAGTCTTTTTGCATACCTGGGGAACCTATACCTAGTAGGAAGCCAGGTTCTACAGCTGTGTGATAAGCAACTATCAGAAAGAAGGGGGGCCCACAGAGGGGCCGCTGTGGGTGCTGGATGCAAGCTGGAATGCACATAGGGATGCCTTGTGCTATGACCATATGTGACTACCTGTATGCAAAACATGGGTGGCTCCTGGCCATCTACCCAGAACATCATGAGCCAGGGTGCCATAAAGACACTGCACATCCATGTTCATTGCCACACTAGTCACATTAGCCAAGTTATGGAAACAGCCCAGATGCCCCACAACAGATGAGTAGATACAACAACAATGTGGCACCTATACACAATGGAATTTTACTCATCCTTTAGAAAGAATAATATGTCATTTGGATGGACCTAGAACAAATTCTGTTAAGTGAGGTAAGCCAAGCTCAGAGACATATGCAGAAGCTAGATCTAAAATATGCCAGCACATGATAACTTATACAGGACTCTAAACATTCCCACACAGTAAAACCAAAGGAGGATACTCTTAGGGGAGGAACACAAAGGTGCAATGCCTATGTGCATCTGCTCATATAAGATAATATTTATCAAAATGAACTGCAGGAAATGGAAACAAGAGTTTTTTTCTTTAAAAAAAATTTCTGCATCCCAGGTTCTTCAATATATACCATCCACCTGTAACAATCCCTTATCAGCTTGGGTTGTGGAAAGTAATAGCCTTTTTTTTTTTGGTTGGTCATGGGGCTTAAACTCTGGGCCTGGGCGCTGTCCCTCAGCTCTTCAGCTCAAGGCTAACGCTCTACCACTTGAGCCACAGCATTTCTGGCTTTTTCTGCTTATGTGGTGCTGAGGAATCGAACCCAGAGCCTCATACATGCAAGGCAAACACTCTACTACTGAGCCACCTTCCCAGCCCCTAGCCTTAATCTTAAAAAAAAAAAAATGTGGGTGGTTATCACCATGCAGACACTCACAAGGGAAAGTAAGCGTTAAATGTGCCACTCTGGAATGGTTCATGTCACTGCTGGATGATCCTACACTTTAAGCTCTCTATGGCCCTGAGCTCTTTGTAGCCCACATGGAGGAATGGGCTTCTGGCTGGCTGGTTGTCAGTCTATCTGCATCCTGGTGATCAGATTTTGCCACTGTCTAAGAAAAGCATACATGAGGATGTCTTGGTCTCTGAGAAATACTCAAATGTGTTCACAAACATAAGCAAACAAGTGACAACATTGCCATGGTGACAGGACAGTCAGAGATGTTTCTGTCTCTCTCCCTCATCTTGTCCTGCAGCCCCTGTCCTCTGCTCCTTCTAGCACAACTGTGCCCAGTCCCAGTCCCAGCCCACCTCTGCATAGGGCACCCACCTCCAGGGCCCAGGACTACTTACCTGTCTGAAGCAAACCAGCATCACTGTCACTGATGTGAAAAGACTTCTGTATGTCTGGCAGCATTCCTGGGGACACAGGGACCGTGGTCAGGAAGTGAGAACTAGCTTGCCAACATCCTGACTTGGGGACAGGACATAGCTGACCAGCACTCACCAGGCATGGCACCTCTAGTTCTCCCATTCCCCTGTTCAATATCACACACACACACACACACACACACACACACACACACGCCTATAAACCCACATTCCACACACAGTTGCATACAGCACATATACATACACATGTAGATACACATGCATTCAGATAAACAGTTGGTTGGAGCTGGGAATGTGGTTTTGTGGTAGAGTGCTTGCCTAACATGCATGAAGCCCTAGGTTCAATTCCTCAGTACCATATAAACAGAAAAGGCTGGAAATGGTTTTGTGGCTTAAGTGGTAGAGCACTATCCTTAAGCACAGAAAGACTCAGGGACAGTACTCAGTTCATGCCCCAGGATTGGCAAAATAATGATAATAATCATAATATTAACAGATGAACAGTTGTTCACAGAGAAAAAGTACTTGCACAAACACAGAGCCTCAGTGACAAACACATAAAACCCGATTCACACATCCAAATACACCAGCACACATGCTCTAAGACATGCACATAAATATACCAGCAGGTAGGCATGTGGACACCTCATGGCTGCCATTCACATTGTAGTCAGAGTGACTGCCAATTCCATCTTACTGCACAGGACAGTGTTCTTCACCTAGATCTCCATGTACGTGAGAGGATTGCCGAGCCCCAGGACTCCCATTCCACACTCACTAGGGCTCTGAAGCCTCTCCCAGACTTTAGTAGCCACAGGCTGGTGCCATGGCACTCTGCCCAATGAAGATGGAGGAAGTTCAGCAGAATCTGAGCTCTATTTTAGCTTTTTGGTGTCATCTCGATGAGGGCCAGGGTCATCATAGTGCTTGGGAGCCATGTGGATCTGTGGTTATTGTGCTACTACCACAGAATACTTGGGTCTGGGTACTTTATTTTTTGGTCAGTTGTGAGGCTTGAACTCTGGGCCTGGGAGCTGTGTGTCCCTGAGCTCTTCAGCTCAAGGCAAGTGCTCTACCACTTGAGTCACAACGCCACTTCCAGTTTTCTGGTGGTTAATTGGAAACAAGAGTCTCACGGATGTTCCTGCATGGGCTGGCTTTGAACCATGTTCCTCAGATCTCAGCCTCCTGAGAAGCTAGGATTACAGGCGTGAGCCACCAGCACCCAGCAAGGGCCTGGGTACTTTATAAAGAAAATAGATGTCATGCATCAGTGGCTTACGCCTGTAATCCTAGCTACTCAGGAGGGTGAGATCTGAGCATCATAGTTCAAAGCCAGCCCAGGCAGGAAAGCCCATGAGACTCTTATCTCCAGTTAACCACCAGAAAACCTGAAGTGGCGCTGTGGCTTGAGTGGTGGAGCATTAGCCTTGAGCTAAAGAGCTCAGGGACAGTGCCCAGGCCCAGAGTTCAAGCCTTATGACTGACAAAAAAAAAAAAAAAAAGAGTCTCATGTACTTACTTGCATAGTCAAGCTTCAAAGATTGATCCTCAGGTTTCAGGATTACAGGCACGAGCCACCTGAGCCCAGCAGTTTTAAATATTTTTATTTACGCCGGGCGCTGGTGGCTCACGCCTGTAATCCTAGCTACTCAGGAGGCTGAGATCTGAGGATCGCGGTTCAAAGCCAGCCCGGGCAGGAGAGACCTTGAGACTCCTATCTCCAATAAACCACCAGAAAACCAGAAGTGGCGCTGTGGCTCAAGTGGTAGAGCGCTCGCCTTGAGCTGAAGAGCTGAGGGACAGCGCCCAGGCCCAGAGTTCAAGCCCCACGACTGACAAAAAATATATATATATTTTTATTTACATGTATTGTGTTATTTCTGTTACTTAGTAAAGGTTTCAATGTTTGTTTTTATGCTGGTCCTTGGGCTTGAACTCAGGGCCTTGGTGCTGTCCCTGAAATTTTTGGCCAAGACTAGCTCTATAGCATGTGAGCCACATCCCCATTTCAAGATACTAATCTCAATGACGTCCCTATCTGGGCTGGCTGTGAACTATAATCCTCAGATCTCAGCCTCCTGAGTAGATAGCAGAAGAGGTTTGAACCACAGGTACCTGGGCTCATAGGTTCAGAAACCTCCTAAAATAAGCTGAATACTTTATTTTGACCAACAGTTTTCCATGAGTAGGTTTCAGACATTTTTCAGGTTGTAAGGGAGGAAAAAGCTGAGTTGGAAAACCAGGAACACTTGCTCAGGGTGCTAATGTGTCAGAGAAACTATTCACGGTGACATAATTGTGCTTTTATTTTTTTCAATCAATAAAATTCCTTTTAATTCCCTTCTTTGTAAGAATTTTCAGTTCTTTGGTTTTCAATACCAACTAATTTAAATATCTTACTATTAGACCTTCTTTGAGAATTGATCACACAGTATATGAGTTTCCTCTTTTGTGTGCCTGTTTTTAAGGGCTTGATATGGGTCCACTATGGCTCCTCCTCAGATGAGCTTCCTCAGGAGACCCAATGATTATGCAAAAGGTCTGATGAGTTGACAGGTGTTATGGAGGAGTCTGGGTGTATTCAAGTGACTGGATGCGTTTGTATCGATTTATATACATCACTGATTTAATATTTCCAATGAATGAAGTGTAATTTTACTGCTTATTCCACCTGAAAATGAATTATATATGTCAAAGTTCAATATTTTACACATATGTTTACATATATATATATGCATATATATTTATGTATACATAGTATGTGTGTATATATACATATATTTACATTTTTCTCTGTAAGAACTATAAACATTTTTAGATCTATCTCAAACTCAGGAAGGGAAGAAACTGGTAAGGTTGATATTTCAAATCAAGAAGGCAAATTCTTTTTATTTTGTTACATTTTACCTTTTTCCTTGGGTCACAATAAAATTAACATGATCAGTGAAAATTTACCTACCAGCTCTGACAAGGGTCTCATGACAGATGACACATGTTGGATGGAAAGAGAATATAGGCAAGCAATACAAGGTCATTTATAACAACTCATCTTTTAGAACCCAGTTGTATGAGACCCTAGAAACACCCTCCTGAGACAGCATGCATCTCCTCACTAGGGTAGAGCCCCCATGACCTAATGACCTCCCACAAACCCTTCTTCCTCCAGGTTCCACCATGTCCCCATCTCCACAGCGGGGACCATTCCTTTAGCACATGAGCTTTGGAAGAGACACAGCATACACACTTTCCTTAAATCCTGGGAAGGCCAACAGCCAGGCCCTGCACTGGGCATGTCCAGCTTTCCCCTAAGAGGCATTGACTATTGCACTGACTATGCAAATGAGGAAAGGGGTTCCAGCTGCCCATGTTTGCACAGCTGTAACTGGGGGAGCAGGGGCTCAAGTCCTGGCCAGAGGTAGCCTGCCTTCCCACTCAGCAGCATAAGACAGAAACAAAAACCTCCAAACAGGACCTGCAGTCTACCACAACCACACCAAGAAAGCCCCACAGCCCCTCTAAGACCTGGTACGTGGCAAGCGCAATCCCTCAGGAATCAGAAGTGCTGAGTGAGAGTTTTGTTTAGAGCTCTAGTTTGGGCTCAGCTACCATTACATCCAGACAGGAAATGACTTTTCCCCCTTTTTAATATCACAAAGAAGGCATAATAGCTGGAGGGGGGAAATATAGATGACACCAAGTAGGCAAAATCAACTATTAAGTAAGATCTTCTCTAGTTGCACTCATCAGCCATGTTTAGGATTTCATTCGTGTGAGTGGCCTGTGGCCCAGGTGGAGCTGGCTTCACTTTTGCCTGTATTGATCCCCTGACCACCAGAACCCTTTCCCACAAGAGAACCAGCTGCTGCACCAACGCCTGTCCCCAGCAACCCAGGACATGCATGGTCTTACTTCTCCAAGGCTTTATCCTAACCACAAGGACCCTAGGCAGAGGAAATCCCAGCAGGAAGGGGCTCCTGACAGGACTCAAGGTCTGATGATCCAGCCAAGGATGCGGGGGAAGAGGAAGCGCAGACAGCCCAGCCTCAGGGATCAGAAAACAGTCCTAATGTTTCCCACTCCCCCGTACCTCTCCTTCAGCTTCTCCTGATCCTCTCGCCTCCCTACCTCAAATCCAATTACATTTTCCACTTAAAACTTTTCCCAAAGCCGGGCGCCGGTGGCTCACACTTGTAATCCTAGCTACTCAGGAGGCTGAGATCTGAGGATCGCTGTTCAAAACCAGCCAGAACAAGAAAGTCTGTGAGACTCTTATTTCCAATAAACCACTCAGAAAACCAGAAGTGGTGCTGTGGCTCAAGTGGTAGAGCAATAGCCTTGAGCTGAAGAGCTGAGGGACAGCGCCCAGGCCCAGAGTTCAAGCTCCACAACCATAAAAAAAATAAAATAAAATAAAATAAACACCTTTTCCCAGAGCCAGGCACTGGTAGTTCATGCCTATAATCCTAGCTACTTAGGAAACTGAGATATGAGTATCGTGGTTCAAAGCCAGAGCAGGCACAAAAGTCCATGAGACTCTTATTTTCAATTAACCACCACCAAAAAACCAGAAGTGGAGTTACGGCTCAAAGTAGAGTGCTAGCCTTGAGCAAAAGAGCTCAGGGACAGGCACTGAGTTCAAGCCCGACAACTGACAAAAGAAAGAGAGAGAGAGATAGAGAGAGAGAGAGGAAAGAAAGAAAGAAAGAAAGAAAGAAAGAAAGAAAGAAAGAAAGAAAGAAAGAAAGAAAGAAAGAAAGAAAGAAAGAAAGAAAGAAAGAAATAT